TAGGGACAAAGCTTTTGGCATGATGTTATCTTTTTTTCCATGTATACACACACACCCACATACCCTTTTTTAGGCTGAAGAAGTTCTGTCCTTAGCTTGTTGAGAATTTTTATCAAGAACAGTTGTTGCAATTTTGTCAAATGCTTTTTCTACATCTTTTGAGATAATCATATATTTTCTCTTTTTTTAGTTTAATTTTTAAAAGATTTTATTTATTTATTTTAGAGAGAGAAGAAAGGAGGGAAAAAGAGAGGGGGAGAAAAAGAGGGGAAGGAAGATCAAAGTGTGAGAGAGACATTGATTGGTTGCTACTGGCAAGCCCCCAACTGGGGACCCAGCCTGCAACCCAGGCACATGCCCTGACCAGAAATCAAACTGGCAACTTCTCAGTCCATAGGCCAGCACTCAATCCACTGAGCCACACCAACCAGGACACTCCCTTTTTTTTTTAGTTTATTAATAAGATGAATTACATAGATTAACTTCGAAATGTTAAACTAACATTGCATATTTGAGATAAAGCCCAGTTGGTCATTAAGTATTTTTTTATATACTGTTGAATTTGACTTGCTAAAATTTCACTGAGAATTTTGCCTCTATGATCCTGAAGGATATCAGTCTGTAGTGTTCTTTTCTTGTAAGGGCTTTCACTGTTTTTATATCAGGGTGATACTGGCCTCATAACATGCAGTGGAAAGTATGCCTTCTTTTTCAATTTCAAAGAAAAGTTTATGTACTATTGGTATTATTCATCCCTTAAATATTTGATAGAATTTACCAGTGGAGCCACACGAGCCTGGAGTTTTCTTTGTGAAAAGGTTTTTAGCTACAAATTCCATTTCTTTATCAGATATAGGGTTATTTAGCTATTTCTCCTTAAGAGAACTTCAGTAGTTTGTGTCTCTTTTTGTCCATTTCATCTAAGATGCCAAATTTACTAGGATATTGTTGTTCTTAACACTATCTTATTATCCTTTTACTGTCTGAAGAATTGGTAGTGATGTCACCTCTCTCATTCCTGATATTGATAATTTATCTTCTCTCTTGTTTTCTAATTAGTCTAGCTAAAGCCTTATCAATTTTATTGATCTCAGAAAACTAACTTTTGGTTTCATTGGTCTTTCTCTATTTTTTATTTTTCATTTTACTTATAGCTACTCTAATCTTTTTTTTTCCTTCTTTCACTTTGGTTTTCATTTGCCCTTTCTTCTTTATATAGTTTCTTAAAATGAAAACTGAGGTCATTGATTTGACACCTTTCTTCTTTTCTAACAGCAGTATTCCATACTATAATTTATTCCCTATGTGCTCCTCTAAAGGCATTTCATGCATTTTTGTATATTATGTTTTCCTTTTTATCCAGTTCAAATTACTTTTAAATTTTTGCTTTGACCTATGAATTATTTGGAAGTTCATTAATTGCTTTTCAAATATTGGAAGATTTCCCAGAAATCTTCCTGTTATTGATTTTCAACTTAATTCCATTGTGGTCCAAGAACAGATGTTATATTTGAATTTTTTTTATTGAGACTTGTTTATGCCCATCTTAGAAAAATTTTTATGTCCATTTGAAAAGGATGTCTATTCTGACATTGAGGGAGGCTGTTATTAGATCAATTGGTTGTTAGTGTTTTTCAGGTCATCTGTATCCTTAGTTCTATCAGTTATTGATTCAGACATATTGAATTTTTTTTTTTTACTGTAATTGTTTTAACAAGCCCTGGGATGAATCTGATGCCTACTCCAGGTGGAGACTTACTCCAGGTGTTTCAACTGGAGGCTTCATACTGACTCCTTACATGTCTTTTCATCACACTCTTAATGTGTGTCATACCTGACAAGAAAGCAGAGCCCTCTACTCTTGCCCCTCCCCAACACTCTCCCCCTGTGCCTGAGCAAAGGGCTGGGATCAAAGCTGTGCTCTTGACCCATTGGCGGGCAAGAGGGTCTGGGTGGCTCCGAAAACCAGTTCTGAAGGGCACTTGCAGTAGTGGCAGCCACAATGGGATTCACCTGAAAGAGAGGTGAGTGGTGGATCCCAAAGTCATATAGCCTGGCTCTCCATGGAGGCTTCTTGCACACAAAGTTGTCACAAATGTGAGGAGTAAAGTGCTCTGGCATCAGACACAGTTGGGTACACATCCCAGCTCTCCCGCCCTACTTGCAGGGGGCACATGGGGCTGGTTGCTTCACCTCTCCCACATTCATCTGATCATCCAAAAAGATGGGGATAATAGTGCCCACCCCCATAGGGGTCTCTAGAAAGATTAAATCCAATTGATTTAAACAAAGAACCAGGAATATAGTATAGGCTCTGTAAACAATAGCAATTATTGCTTTTTTATTTAGCTGTAGTAGAAAGTAATGTCAATGCCAATATTGTTACTCCCCTTTTACGGATGACAGATATTGAGGCACAGAGGAAAAAACAAAGTGTCCAGGATTACACAGAAACATTTACTGAAACAGCAAACACCCAAGACCCAACCCATTAGCCAGTGATGGATCTTGCCCATACCCTCTAATGAGCCTGTTTCCCAATCCTGACGCTATGGTCATAATTTATTCCCAGTAGCTCCAGGTTCCCTAGAAAGAAAGTAAGTGTTGATTCAGTTACAGTGGTTACCAGCTAGTTCTCTGGTTTATTGCTGTAATTTTTCTAAAGCAAGCATCTGTGGGTAAAGATGTCATTCTGCCTTTATGTTGCTTAAATGAGAATAGGAATTCCCTTGTGTCCTTGAGGTACAAGACCCAGCAGCCACGAGGAGGCTCCAGTCACCCTGTTAAAGCCAGGAATTGCCTGGAAAAGTTATGGGTGGGGAGAGGAGTGCTCTGTAAGCTTGCATAGTGTAGGGGCTGGAGACCAAGTAGGTAAAGCATGGGACCATGCCCCTCACCTGGGCAAGTGCAGACACAGAGAGGATGTTCCCCCACCCAGCAAGGAGCCCTGACACAATTACTAGCTGGGCTTTGTTTAGCAAACACACAGCTTTCACAGTGTGCCAGGCACTGCTCTAAGGACTTCCCAAGCACTAATTCATTTAATGCTCATAAGAGCCCCACAAAGTACTATTGTTATTCCTATTTCACATGTAAGGAAATCGGGAGATTGCACAGAGAAGTTAAGCAATTTGTCTGGGATCACACAACCAGTAAATGGCTGAGCCAGGATTTGAATTCAGGCAGTTAAGTTGTAGGGATGGATTTTAAAAGGGTTCCCCACCCTGCCTGGTATGACTCAGTGGATTGAGCGCCAGCCTGCAAACCAAAGGATTGCCAGTTCGATTCCCAGTTAGGGCATATGCCTGCATTGCAGGCCAGGTCCCCAGTAGGGGGCGCGTGACAGGCAACCACATATTGATGTTTCCCTCCCTTTTTTCTCCCTCCCTTCTCCTCTCTCCAAAAATAAATAAATAAAATCCTTAAATGGGGTCTCCCAGGAGACAACCAAAAATACGTAGTCAAAGCCACATGTGGGATAGTGAACACACAATATAATATAGAGATGCTGTATTATAGAATTATAAATCTGAAACCTATATGATTTTATTAACCAATGTCGCCTCAATAAATTCAATAAATATTTTTTTCAATAAAATCTTTAAAAACCCACACAAAGTCTAAGTTGGGCAAATCTGAGCATGAACAAAATGAAGAAAGGTTTCAACAGATATTAGTCACTAACATAGAGAAGGGGGCAAAGGAGGCCTAGCCTAGTGGACAGCAAAAGGGTAAGTCAAGGTGTTTATGACAGATAGCACCTCATCTAGAGTGGGACTTCTGAACAGAAATATGGGGTCTCACCATCCCTGAGGAGTGGGAGTTACAGTTCCATTGTAGTTTCTTAGATATGGAAACTAAGGTTCAGAAAAATTAAGTGATCTGCTTAAGTTTACATAGCCAGGAAGTGCACACCTGGGACTCAGACACAGCCTACTCATTTCTACATCCAAGCTCTTTCCCTACATCTCTCAGACTTGCTACCAGATTTCAGAATTAGAGGGTGGAATGGGCCTTTTTTATCCCCCTTCTCCATGTTAGTTAATGATCTCTGTTGAGGTCTTTCTTTATTTTGTTCATGCTCAGATTTGCCCAGCTCAGATTATATGTGGCTGTGACTACACATTTTTGGTACTCTCCATGGGAAAGCCATCTTAAACTCCATCCCTATAGCCTAACTGTCTGGGTTCAAATCCTGGCTCAGCTACTTACTGGCTGTGTGACCCCAGTAATGTACATACACATCTACCATGCACATGGATCAATGTGTGCGAATACCTCCTGTGTGACAGCTGACTTCCACTAAACAGTTAAAAGAAATCACACCTGGCCAGGAGAAAGCAGAACTGAAGTTACACAGATCTGCTGATCCTTTCTGCCATGTCACCTCAGGAACAGTTACATAGGAAAAGCCAGTTCCAGTGTACCAAGATTTCTCTCCCTTACCTGCTACAGCAGGGGTGTCAAACTCATTTTCACCAGGGGCTACATCAGCCTCATGGCTGCCTTCAAAGGGCTGAAATAATTTTAGGACTGTATAAATGTAACTACTCCTTAACTGTTAAAGAGTTGAAATTACATTCGGCCCTTTGAAGGCAACCCCAGTGAAAATTAGTTTGACACTGCTGCTCTACAGCCTAAAATTCCTGTCCCAGAAAGAGGACATTGGAACTAGGAGCCCTCCACTTGACAGGAGCCTTCCCCCTGCTCCAGACTTGTGTTTCCATTCCTCACCAGTAAGGAAGAACTCTGGGCAGAGCTCCTAAGGTAGTACCACCCCATTCCATTGGGACCCCACCAGGGCCTCAGTTGAGCCTGATATCTACCTTGAAGAAGAGACCTGCATCCTTCCTTGGAAACCAATCTTACCACCAGTGCCTGGAGGGCTGGGCACCTGACCCCACGACCCCACCCTTCCTCTCCAGGAGACCTGACCACAGAAGTCCTTTCCCAGTCATCTCAGGCCACCTGTGTTTGTTGTGTTTGTCTCTCTGCTTTAGGGATTTATTTCTCTACAAGGGATGCAGGTGACCCAATTTCTTCTTGGCCCTGAGGATGTGGGGAAGCACCTCTTTAAGATCAGCCCAGGTAGGTCTGAGCACCTTGCATCTCTGTGCTGGGGCTGGCCCTGGTGGCCCCAGTGAGGATGTTGCCACACCTTTAGCCTGGGAAGGGCAGAGCCCCTTCATGAAATTCCAGTGCTGTCTCTAAACATTACTCAGAAAGTTGTGCCAAATCTAGAGGATTTTACAAATTTAGAGGGAAATTAGAAAATCCAGTTAATTATACGGGTAATTAGCTTTTAATGAATTTTTTAAAATATTTTATTTATTTATTTTTAGAGAGAAAAGGGAGGGAGATAGAGAGAGAGAGAAACATCAATGTGTGGTTGCTAGGGTGGCCTGCAACCCAGGAATGTACCCTGACTGGGAATCGAACCTGGGACACTTTGGTTCCCAGCCCGCGCTCAATCCACTGAGCTACACCAGCCAGGGCTTGAATTTTTAGATTTACTATAAACACAAGGGAAGAAGCCAATCAACTGGGACACCTTAGGGTGAAGGTTCAAACAACAAATCTGGGTCATACACAAATAAGTCACTAGCACCAATTCAAAGCATTAAAATAGGCTTTACTATGGATTCTAAAACAGAATTGCAATGTGGGAAGAGGGGAAGAGTTTAATCCAAAGAACTGCTATCATGTTATCAGTCACAAAACAATTTTTTGAAGTTTCCTGTTTTAAAATGTGATTGTTATTGAGCTAAGTTAACATGTCTTGCAGATGAGCCAGTCTGTACACAGAGGGGCCTGGGTCCACAGCCAGGTCACATTGTATTCAGCCGGACCTCCCCCAACACCCCCTCACCCCTGCCCTGGGAAGCAGAGCCTGAAAGGATATCTGAGCAGTTTATTCAGAAGCAATGCCCAAAAAGCAAGAGGAAATGAGTAGGAGGAGAGGAGAGCTAGGCAGGCTGTGCTGTGAGCTGGCTGCTGCTGTGGCACCCAGACTCAGTTTCAATGGGACTGTGGGGACTGTGGAGAACAAGCCTCAGAGATGTCTTGCCAAGGAGTGCAGAGATGTCTTGCCCAGGGGTATACACCAGCGATTAATTGCAAGCTACTTCCTGGGGAGTTCACATTGCCATATTTGGCCTATCCCGCACATGGACCAAGCTCCCTACCGACACAGAAAGCCTTCGGAGAAAGTTGCAGGTACTTGTGGAGGCCACCCACATGGATGGGAACAGTTGCCTAAAGGTCTAGGCAGGGCAGCTAGTCATTGTGTCCTATGGGTGTATATCAGTTTTAGATGTTCTTCTGTGAAGTGGTGGCTTTGAATTGGCTAGGGCCTCACTGGGGTCTGTGAGACAGGAAGTTTACAGTCAGAGAAGCATGGTCACCCAACCACTCTGAAAAGGTGACCTGGTGTTATAGAACCCCAGCCTATGCTGCTCTGGAACAGCTGTGGGGTCTGATGGCCTACCACCAAGAAGCATGACTCCAAATGCTAGAGTTTGGTAAAAAGGAAAAGAATTGTTTATTTAAAAGTTAATACAGGATTAAAAAACACAATGAGATACCACTTCATGCCAGTCAGAATGGCCATCATTAACAAATCAACAAACAACAAGTGCTGGAGAGGCTGTAGAGAAAAGGGAACCCTACTAAGTACACTGTTGGTGGGAATGCAGACTAGTGCAGCCACTGTGGAAAACAGTATGGCATTTCCTCAGAAAACTAAAAATGGAACTGCCTTTCAATTCAGCTATCCACTGCTGGGATTATACCCTAAGTATCCTGAGCCACCAATTCAAAAGAACCTATGTACCACAATGTTCATAGCAGTGTTACTTATAATAGCCAAGTGCTGGAAACAGCCTAAGTACCCATCAGTAAATGAGTGGATCATAAAAACTGTGTTACATTTACACAATGGAATACTATGAAGCAGAGAGAAAGAAGGAACGCCTACCCTTCATGACAACACAGATGGAACTGGAGAATATTATGCTGAGTGAAATAAGCCAGATAGTGAAAGGCAAATACCATATGATCTTACCTGTAAGTGGAACCTAGTGAACAAAACAAACAAACAAGCAACATAGATCCAAAGGCATGGAAACAAGGAACAGACTGACAGTGACCAGAGGAGAGAGGGGAGAGTGATAACAAGGGAAAGAAGGGGAAGGGACAATCCAAGGAACATGAATAGAGGACTCACACGCATGGACAATGGAGGGGGGATTGACTGTGGGAATAGGGGGAAATGGGGCAAGGAAGAGCAACACAGAAAAAGGTGGGACAACTGTAACTGAACAACAATTAAAAAATGTTATACAGAATTAGAATAATGGCAGAATTCTGCTGTTAAGTCCTACTCCCTTTAAAACACCCACAAACACACAGTCTTGCCTCTCTTTGCTAAACCAGGCTAGTTTCAGAATACGCCAGTCAGAGGCACCATGTTTCAGATAAAACAGAAGTCCAAGGCTCAGCCTTCCCCATCGCAGTTCAGCATTCCAGGCACCTCCCATTAATCTGTGCTTGGCTAGGCAGGTCCCTGCAGTTCCATCAGCCATGCTGCTATGTTCTCCCAGACAGGTTTCCCAATGAGTCTCCTCTTTCTTCCTCCAGCTCTTAATCCAAAACTGCATGACACCTCCTTCCTCCAAATTGCATGGCACTTCCTTACATCAAACCTCATGGCAGGCCAGTGGGGGCCCTTCTACACCCTTTCAAACCACCTAGCCACTCTCATGGCTGGCCACTGTAATTTTAAATGCTGAACTGGGGCTTCCTATATGATTTCATACTCAGCACTATACATTCTGAAGGTCATATAGGGTGGCAGCACACACTTGCCATTGTAATGCAAAGTGTCTTAAATGCCATATCATCTGCTACCTCCAACCCCCAAACTATGGACTGTGGGGACTTTGGAAGCCTCTCACCCTGTACTCTGTTTCACTGGCTTTAGGCTGCCCAATGAGGCATGGATCATCCCAGACTGAGGCATGGATCATCCCAGACTGAGTCAGTGCCAGCAGCATGCTCCCACTGAGATCTCGAGCGAGTGAATGCAAGCCTTCAGTAGGTCATGTTCACCTTTGCTCTGTCCATCCTGGGAATTCCAGGGAGCACTGACTGAAGTTGAAGTGCAGGGGACCCTTCAACTACATGCCCTGCATGTGGACTTCAAGCAGCATGGTTTCATTTAGGCACTCCCTACTTGGGCATTCATCTACTCCAAGTACCATGGAAGGTGGCCACAGAGTGATCCCAGGGTAGGGATTGGAAGATTGAGGCCTGGTTGATTATAGAACAGGAGTTAAGGCTTCTGTAAAGAAGACAGAGAAGAATAAAGGATGGCAGTGAGGTAGACAGGGCCCTGCCCTGTAGGAGAGGGGGAGCTGGGGACCTGGAAGGAAGGGCTGGAGGAGGGGCCCTGAACTTGGAGAATGAAAAGGTGGAAATCAACACACCCCAGCCACAAATTCAGAAAGGCAATCAGCATATGCCCCAAGGACCAAAAAGGGAAGAATTGCGGTCTTTATCTGGGTCAGAGCTATTTACAAGGATTTCTTAGCTCTGGAGGGATGAAGACCCACTTGCCATGTAAGGTAACATTCATAGGTTCCAGGAATTAGGATGTGGACATCTCCAAGGTGTCCATAGTCTAAGATTGCCTATTTTATTAAAAAGGACAATGTAGGTTAGAAAGGATAGGAGGCTTGCCCTAAGACACACAGCCAGGTAGTAATAGGTTTAGGGCTTGTACCCAGGCATTCTGACTTCCAAAGCCATACAGTTAAGCTGCCCTCCAATACAGGCACAGAATCTAGTGTCTTAACTACCTGTGCCTGGGAGATCTAGGGATGCAGGTATAGGAAGACAAGCTCCCTGCACCCCTTTATATTAAGCACAGCAGCACTCTAAGCACCAGATTCTTACAGGTCTCAAGGACTGTCATCTCTGCCTTCATGCCCTGTGCACATGGCTGAAGGCCTTGGGCTGGGGTGTCTGGGCATGTGCCGGCAGCTGGAGGCCACCCAGGGAAAGCGTGCCATGTGTGGGCAGTGAGGGGTTCAATTATCCTTTAGTAAACACTAAGGAAGAAAGACTTGCCCTGGCTGGTGTGGTTCAGTGGACTGGGTGCCAGCCAACAAATCAAAAGTTCACCAGTTCAATTTCTAGTCAGGGCACATGCCTGGGTTGTAAGCCAGATCCCTGGCAGGTGAAAAAGGCAAATGATCGATCAGTTCTCTTGCACATCGATGTTTCTCTCTCTCTCCTTCTCCTTCCCTTCCCCTTTCTCTAGAAATGAATAAATAAAATCTTAAAACAAAAAAAAAAGAAGAAGAAAAGACTCAATAACCTCCTCTGGACTCATCATTCTGGCTGGTGAAGGAAGGTCAGGTGTGGGCACATGTCTGCCAAAAGCAATGGCCAGAGTAGGGAAAACTTGATAATAGATAAATAAACTACATGAATTTTAAGTCTTCTCTCTGTGACTTAAAATCTGTGACTTTATGCTCTTCAACAGTATTAAAATATCAGATAAAATTAAAAATGAAGAAAACTTAAAATTGTCAGTGCCATCTAGTGGAGAGAAGTACCAATCCCACAACAGTCCCTATGTGCCTCCTGCCCACCACCAGACATTTCACCCAGGCCAAACCTCTGACTCTTGCTGGGTCCCTACAGTCATTAAGGAGGGAGGAGAAAGGGCTGCAGCTTAAGCCCACTCTGACACTGGCTCTGGGTCATGCCTGAAGGAGCCAGAACCCAGGAAGCATCAGGGATTCAAGGACCCTGAGTCACTTTTCTACCTGGGCTGCTTCTCCTGCCTATGCAGTTAGTTGCCTGTTGTGATATTGTGATTTGTAAGAAGAAATATTTATTTGATCTTTGTCCTGGTTCCTGGCACAGAGCTCCTAAAATACTCCAAATTTCCTACCTGAGAAGAGATAAAGCTGTCTATTGTTATGTTAATGAGTGACATGGAATGCACCTAAGGATGGGTGCTGATTGTCAGAGGAAGCAACCTTGTGACTAGAGGGTTGGAAATTTCAGTCCCAGGCCTC